AAAATTTCGTCTGAATAATACTTTTTAATAAAAAATACTACAGTGATTTATAGTTTCGAGTCCAGTTTAAGAAAAAGTTTGCTTAGAGTGGGTTAGGTTAAGTTAACTTACTAAGTCAAAACGCACGAGAATTACTTTCTACAAGGGATGCTTTCGTGGAGGACTTTTTAAGAGAAAACTCACTCTTGTTTACATTATACAAGGGAAAGCCTCACCAGCAGTCGGGTGATGGTTAAGACTATTTAAATGCACGGAGTTCAACATGGGTTTGATTCCACGCGAACGGGCTGGCTGCATGGTTGGTTTTTGTAGTTCTTCTTATTTGATACTCGAATACCAGCCAGTTTCCTTTAGAACGAAAGCTAGGATCCTCCCCTTTAGGCAGATAACCCTCGAGTGCTTTGATAACTATTAAGGCCCGTCCACACGAGGACGCTCCCGACGTAGATAACGCAAGCGCATTTACGTTACCTGCGTAACAGCGTCCAAACGAGTACGCTTGCGACGAGTGCGTTTAACCAATAGAATTATTTGGCGCAAAATAATCACGTGACGCTGTCAGATAGCGTTGTTTCCCGGGTAAACGGAGCAGTTGTCTTTCTGTAAGTTTGCTACACGATGTCAGATTCAGATGATTTTTGGATAGATGAAACATTACTATTAAGTACAGTCATTAAGCAGCGGCAAAAACGTAAAAAACGGCGAGAATGGGTTCGAAAGATTTATTTAGAGCGACCTGTTCAAGGAGATTTTTTTTCTTTACTGCCTCGTATGCGAACCGATTATCCTGAATTATTTTTTAATTACTTCAGGATGAGTATCGACCAGTTTGATAGACTTGCAGCTTTAGTAAGCCCCTTGCTTATTAAAAATCAGACAAATATGAGAGCTCCACTGAGTCCAGAAGAAAGGCTGAGCATTTGTTTGAGGTAAGTTTGCATTTCCTATAAATATACTGAAAAATATTATAAAATATATCCTATAAATGTATGATATATAATAAAAAATATGTTAAAGTAAAAAATTTATTTAATTTGGGTTCTCTGCCTGGAAAAAAAAAAAAAAAAAAATCACTAAAAAATTGAGGAGTACTGAAGCCAGGCTCCAGCTGATTTTAAGCCGTGCTAAATTATGAATCAGATTAAAGGAAGAAAGAAATTTAAAAAACCCTTTAAGCAAGAAACTGCAGTACATTAATTATTTATTAGTTTTATTCTTGTTTATCATCAACTAATAATGGACTTGTAATTTAAATAAATTATTAACAATAAGGAAAATAAAAGAAAAATAGATTTCATAATTAAAAGTTTTTCTCTAAAAATTTAACTTCTAGCAGTTGGTTCTGACAAACACTCTAATGCATGATACCCGTTTACTTTTTGTTTTTTATTTAGAATATCAAACATTGCTATTTATTATTGATTGCAGGATTTTTGTTGTTGTTAAAAAAGCATAAATTCTATCATTCATTTGATTTCAATTATTCTGCAATATTTATATGAATGTCAAATGAGATAATCATTTTGATTTTTCTATTTCTTGCTTACCGACCTTTAAACCAAACACTCTCAGTCATTCAAGCCTGTCACTGACTATGTGACTAAAGCCTTTAAATGCTGGTCTTAGTTCCAGAGGTGTGGAACTTATTTAGGTGCATGTTTTTTTCCCCCTCCCCATGGGTGTTTGCATAATTATTAGAACTACAAACGAACTCCTTTTATAAAGTTCTTCATGAAAGTTTTCCCCCTCCCATAATAGGCAGATATACCATTAAGTGTTTATTGATGATGAATGAGGTAAATAAAATGTAAATAAATAATTCAACTTAAATTTTTATGTATGTGATTCTAAATTTTCAAATGGTGTATTTAGTACTATTTTATTATTGAAAGGTCCATTGGTAATTATTAAAGTCCATTGGTAATTTATGCAAATGAATTAATATGAATGCCTTTTCAGAAACACTATACAAGAATAAATATTTCAATGTTTGTAAAACACACGTCTTTTTAAAAATAGGCAATGTAACAATTTTTATGATACTCTGTAATTTTTTTAGAAAAAGAGTATTATCTTGTGTTACATTACAGCTTTTTCTGAGTACATATACAGGGTGGTTCAAAACTATATGTCAAAAATGTAAAGGCAGGCAGAGGGGACCTGAATAAGCAGATTTCATATAGGAATGCATGTGTGGTAATGTCGCATTAAAGACTAGCACGTAAAGCAGTATGAATCACAGGAAACTGAAAAGACAAGTAAAGACAAAAGAAAAAATTATTAACAGTTTACAATAGGCATTTGAAAGAGTGGCTACCAACAAAGACACAAAATTCAGTGGCGACACATGGATCAGCGTACTTTAGAAAAGACGTCAGGTATGTCGAGCACATGTCCAGCAACAACAGACAAGTGGGAAACAAGGATTACCTGCAGATGTGACTGGACTCCTGTACACGAAGCCTTTAATATGACCCCAAAAAGAAGAAATCGAAGCAGGTTAAATCAGGAGAACACAGTGGCCAGTTCCTCCCCATCCTATCCAATCCTGACATTCCCACTGAAGTGAGCTGGGGCTCCATCATGCTGGAATCACATTTGTCTGTAAACAGCTGGTTTAAGTAAGACCTCCCCGTAACATTGCTCCTTGTACATTCTTTGAACAGTTAATTCATTTCTTTATGCATACATGAAATGCATGTTGGCAAGCTCTGCTTTGGTGTGTAACGATGCATGCTGTTCGAAATCCATGCGGAAAACGAAGAATCCAGCTAGGACAGCGCTTTTATACGCCATACTCATCAGTCACTAAACAGGTCTTGATTTACTTAAAATAAAAGCAAATGATTCATCAAAATGGAAGATTTTCTTTCTTGATTGATTGAAATATATATTTATTTCTCATCAGCAGTTCTAATATTAAGAGTCATTCTTTTTATTTAGAAACATCTACCATATTAAACATAAAGTAAATATTTTAGTGCATAACTCAATAAAGAATGTAAACTCTGATCGAAGTACTTATTTGCCAATTATGCTGAAATGATAAAACTGTGAAATAATGCATTGGTAGATGTATTTTTAAAATAACTTGCTTTCAATTTGATATGTTTATAAATGTGTTGTGATTTATACTTTACATATATTTAATCTTTGTGATATATATTCTTTTTAGGCACCTTGCAACTGGAAACAGCTACAGTTCTTTGGCATATAGTTTTCGTGTTGGGAAATCTACTGTAGGAGTTGTGGTGCCTGAGACATGCAATGCTATATGGACAGCTCTTCAGCCGGTATATCTAAAAGAGCCAGAGAAAAGTGATTATGAGAGAATAGCTGTAGAATATGGCACAGTGTGGGACTTCCCAAATTGTGTTGGAGCTGTCGATGGCAAACATGTTGTCATTCAGGCTCCAGCACATGCTGGCTCTACCTATTTCAATTACAAAGGGTCACACAGCATCGTTTTGATGGCTGCATGTGATGCTTCATATTTATTTACAATGGTGGACATTGGAAATTTTGGCAGAATCAGTGATGGAGGCATTTTCTCAGCTTCAAACCTTGGGAAAAAGCTTTCTCGTGATAAAGAATTTCTGCCTGGGTACAAAAAGTTACCAAAAAGCTCCAAATGTCTGCCACATGTCTTCGTTGGAGATGAAGCATTTGGACTGAAAGAAAATTTCATGCGTCCATATTCAGGTAGAAACTTAAGTAATTCAAAAAGGATTTTCAATTATAGGCTCTCCAGGGCAAGAAGATGTATAGAAAACACATTTGGTATTTTGACTGCTCGCTGGAGGATTTTACGGAATCCAATTATTGCACAGCCTCAGACAGCAACATTAGTTGTTCAGGCATGTTGCTGCCTGCACAATTTCTTGATGAAATACGAGTCTATATCTCATAATTATAAATACTGCCCACCTAATTTTGCCGACAGACCCATGCTTGAGACAGCTAATGGACTCTGGCGAGATGATACATCTCCAAACAATGGTCTAGTGAGAATTCTTAGATTAGGGAACAATAACTATTCATTTTCCTCTGGATCTGTTCGTGATTTATTTTGTAGTTATTTTGAAAATGAAGGAGCACTCTCTTGGCAAAATAAAAGAATAGGTCTGACAGTGCACCCAAATTAAAGATAAATGTATGTAAATAATATTTTTTTTTTTTTATTTCAAAATAAATATACATGTACAATGTGTAAAAAATAAAACAGGTTGAAAAAACATGTAAGCATTGCACAGCTCACTTTGATACTTTTTGTGATTATTATAAATAATTTCAAAGTGTATATTACTTTCACAGTACTTCTATATTATTTATTTCCTTATTATCTGATTTATTTCCTGAAGTATATAAAACTTCTGCATTATGAATATTTTTAAAGACTATATGATGTATATTAACAAAATAAGATTTCTCTCACCAGAAAGCATAAAATTATCAAAAAATATTAGCTAAGAAATAAATTTGTACCTTACAGTAATGAATTTTCTGTTAGAGATCTGCTACAATACGAAACCTGGCTGTAAATGTTATTCCATAAGTATAACATAGACAAATTAGGCATGAATGTAGATTCATTACAATAGTTAAGATGTGTATCATTATGCTGACATTATTGACATCTATTTTCTGTATACCTTTTTCAGATCATTCAGCTTTTATCATTGCTAAAAATTTAGTTTATACTTATTGCCGAGGCATTTTGTTGTCTTGTTCTGTAATGTACGATGCACTTTTATATTTTCCTGAAATGTCTATGCTGTGTACACGCTTAAAGTAGATTTTTTGTTTCCATTACTTAATTTAATAGGATGTAAAATTAGTTTTTATTTAAAGAAAATATGCATAACACTTAAATAATAATTTTAAAGTCATGTTAAGTATGATGCTCATAGTACATAGTCTTAAATAATAAAACAGAAATTAAAAACATAATTTTTTATTTTACATATTCTGCAATTAATTCCAACATTCTTCTTTTTAATTCATTTTTTTTTTTCCCGTGGTACAGCACCAAAGTCATCACGGAGACTTAGTAGAAAGTGTTCATCATCTGATGTTTGGCTCCGTGATTTTAATCGTGCTGCTGCTGCCAAATCTAAATAAGTCGACAATTTTGAATCGATGTCTTTTTTCTTTTGCTTTTTAAGTGGAGGTTCTAAAATCTCTCCACCATCTACAAGTTGGCTGCTGCATGCAGCTTCTTCATTTAATGATTCATCAAAATTTATGGAGTCATTAAATGACTCCATTGTGTCTTCGATAGGGAGTGAAGGCTCATCAATTATATTGCTCGTGGTCCTGTAAATAGAGGAAACATTAAGAGAAAATATAAATAAAATTAATATATATACATAAACATATACATTGTGTGTGTGTAACAATTTAGATTCATTTCATTTCAATTTTCATGTAAAGTAGCCAAACTTTGTTGGAAGAAGCTACATATTAAAATTAAGAATCATTTAATAGCCATAACTAGATATTTATAGTTTTTAAGAAGGTTGATATTGAACCCACAGAGGTCAATGAGGATCAAAAGGGTCGTCGATTGCAAATATGCACCAACAATTTATAGGAATAATCAAGCCCCCATTGAATAAAAAATGTATAATTAATTGTTTATTGATATAAAACTACACATGTGGTAAAGAAGAACACCATACAAAATAAATATAAGGGAAAAAATACATAAAAATTACTTAATAGAAGTTTAAAATCCCATTTTCAAAATGTATAAATTATTTATGCAAAAGTACAGTATAAAAGAATAAATGCAGGAACAAAGAAAACACAACCAAAAATATAAAAATGCAAACTTTCTCAGAAAACGTATTGTTATATACAAGATGCTTGCAAAATTGGAAATTTAAATTTGTCAGTGGCTCATGGAACCTCTGAATTGCAATTTCAGATCAATATTTGATCTAGATTTTATGATGTAAGAAGAGTTGATTATATTGAAGGAGGATGTTCAAGCAGAAGTCTTATTCAAAATGGAAGTTTAGGAATTAAATATTATCAAAGAGAAATATTCCAAAATAAAAGTTATCACATAATGTTATCGAGTTTCCCTTTTTTTTTTTAACGTAGTAGATGTACTCTTTAGTCAAGATGAGAATTTTCAATGTAAAAAAAGAAATAGGCTGAGCATTTTCGAATGAAGAAGTAGTAGTCTAATAAGAACCAAGCAGTTTTATGCCGAACACTTAAAAAAATGCATCATTACATCAAGTGCAGCATTTGCATTAATTAAAATGGAACTTTTCTGTAATGTTGTTTCTAAAAACTTGTTTACATTTGTAAAATTAAATATAATAATAATAGAGAAAATAATATAAAATAAATCTAATAAACAATTTTGGTATATCGGTCTTACAGCAGTTCCCCCCCCCCAAGACATAAATCACGTTATAGATAATAGAACGTTGTTTGGGTCATTTTTGGTGTTGGCGATAATTTTCAAAATCGCGTCAAGGCTGTAGCGTATACTAGGATTTTACCAGTTATGCTTGTGCAGTTATTTGTATTATGATTATGTTTCATGCCACATATAATAGAGAAAGCATTGAAGAAAACCATCCTTTTAAAGGAAGTCAAAGCAAAAAAAAAAAAAAAAAAAGTTTGGAATCCCTGCACAAGAGCTTTTGCATAAAAAAAGTAATTTAGTTTTCTGAAACAATTAACTTAAGCTTTAAATTATTTTACAAACTGGAGCAGAAGATATCCCCTCCCTCTCCTCCAGTATACGTTACATATATTCATAGTGCTGTTAAGAATATGAATGCAACATCTGTTAATACATGTCATTTCTGCTGTCATACAATGTCTATATGAAATGTAGCATATGCACAGTAGTAAATTCCATAAATGGAACTTTTGTTTCTTAATTTGATGCTAAGTGTACATCAAGCAGTTTCAAATTGCTTAATGCTATTAAACACAATGTAATTTAAAATTAATTTGATGATTGATAACAAGGCATGTCATAAAAAAAATTTCTGTTTCAAATTGTACTTAAAAAATGAAATCGTTTCTTATAGCATGAGCCACATTTAAGGACCTTCCAAAATAGTTTTCATGGCTTCTTCCACATGTGTCTTTCTCTTATTCAAAACTGCACTTCCAAGGTGTTTCTCTTTTACATATATAGCTTAGTTAAAATAATCTGTAAGCAACCTATTAAATTTTATATAAATTTCCTTAAATAAATACCATTTTGAAAAGCAGTTATAAAATTCTTAACAACTTCAGGAATATTTTGAGCCTTACAAAAAGTATTCTCACTTGTTAATGTAGTTACAAAATTCCCTTAGAAAATTTATATAATAAAACAATATCAGAACTATACATTTAAAGATGTAATTCAATTTTATTATTTCAACTACAAAAGTAGAGAATATATATCGTATAGCTGTGATATTTTTAAATATACAGAATATAGTAATCGTTTTAAAATATTAAAAGTTGTTAGAAATACTTACGGTCGATGACTAACTGTATCTCTTAAAAAAGATAATTCCTCATACAATCCAAATTTTGGAGTTGTAGCTTCAGAGCCACTCCTATTTTTTGATTTTAGAGCCTTGCACTCCCTAACATATCTATCACGCAGACATTTCCATCGATGTCTGATAGTATTAACTGAAAATAAGCATATTATAATCATTAGTAAGCATACGTTTCATATCACAAAAAAAATATAATATAAGCAAAAATGTTCCTTGAAATATATGAAACAGACTTACCGTCGTATCCTATACTATTCGATATTTTTATCCAGATTAGTTCTTTTCTTTCTTTATTGCGATAATCTTTGAGTTTGTGATCCCATAACAGTGGGTATTGTCGAATCTCGTTGATAAGTATTTCGTCGTTAAACGCAGCCGCCATGTTGAAAGCTGTAAACAAAACTTTGGAGCAGATCATGACACGTGATCCGAATTCAGTCAGCTATTGGCTAAACGCGCGCGTCGCGGGCGAAAAAGCTGAACAGGAGCGTCCTCAGTTTTACGTCTTCTGCGTCATGCGAATTTACGCCGGCGTCAAAAAAGTTACGTCAACTACGTCGGGAGCGTCCTCGTGTGGACGGGCCTTTACGCATGGGGTAAGCCACAAAAACTCTCAAGCAAGTTCGCGAAATATAAGTCATGGATGAACTACCAGTTTTCAGCGATTTTACTTCTCGGTCGTTCGTCTATGATCGGCTGTACACTTTGCGTAAAAAAGAAATGAGAAAGTTCTGTATCTCGCATTCTACTGGGCCAATCGACGAAATTTAATTCACATATTTGATGCCTCGAAAGCGTGACTCAGGCTTGGATATAGATTAAATATAGCATTGTTCTAATACATGTTATTACTCAAAATCTGACTTCGTATACCAACTTTCTGAAATCGCATATCGATTTTTCCATATTTAGATTCTGCGACCTCAATTATGCCTAAATATTAAATTTTCTAAAATTTGGTGAGAAATTTGCCGAAAAATTTAAAAATTTACTTTGGCGCAAGTTTTTTTAGTTTGCACCAATAATAATTCACTCGGCGAAATTCCTAATTTATGGTAACCTATTTTCCTTTCCCTTTTATTGTGCACGAGCGGGAAAAAAGGTACTTCGTTCATTCTTTCAAATAACTTTAACAAAGTGCGTAAACCACATCTGCGGTTATTATAACTTATAACAAATATGCCAAATTTCAAAACGATCCAATATATGAATTCACATGCGTCTTGGGAAATTTTGAAGAAAGAATAATTTTCTGCAGGTGTGCCTAGAACTAGATGTATTTTAAGGTGGTGGTAAAAATTTTATAGGTTATACTTCAAAATGTTTTAAGAAAAAATTTATAAAAAATACAAATTTAAAATAAAATCGGAAAATAACTGCGAATTTTATTTGACTGAACCTAAGTTTTAAACTGTGAAAGAAGAAATCAAATAATCAAATAAGTTTAATCAAAAAAGAGATATCGAGAATATACCAAATTCAATTAATATTGAGGATCTAAAATTTTATGAGCTGATATTTTAAAAACTGCTCGTGCGATTTTTACAAAACTTTTCACTTTGGCATAGTTTGAGTGGTAGAACAGAAATATATAAAAACTTGGTATGCCATTTCAGGTTAAAAGTCCTATTTTTGTGTCAAAATACCCGTATTATAATAACCCTCTCTATATAACTGTAATAAAATACTATATATCTCAAGAAGCGTTTTCGAGAGATGAAAAACGCAAGCTAAATTTCGTAAATCGGCTCAGTAGAACGTAAGATATAGAACTCTCCCTTTTTTGTGTGTGCAGAGTAGATTTAGAAAAAAGTTATATCGATTTCAAGGGCGATTTGATACAGCTTCTTTTTTTCTTCAAGAGCAAAACTTTTCTGATGATGAAGAAAAGGGACCTAGGGTAGATAGCCCTCGAAATTAAATTAGACCTTCATTCAAAATCTAGTCTAATCCAAACTTTCTTTCTTTCTTTCTTTTTTTTTTTTTTTTTTTTTTTTTGGTCATATTTGAAATTTGATATTGGTACGTTTCTCTTCCAGGTATACAAGCAATTCAGCCTTGTCGTGTAATCGAAAATCTAATTGTCTCCTATAGAGAAAGCTGAAATGAAATGTGATGAACGATGTTAGTCACCACCTGGATTCGGCCGACTGAATCTCGTACCTCTTCTTAGTCGCTTTTCAAATGAAAGAGAATGTAAGGAATTATAGTATTTATCCATGTAGCTCTTTCGGTGCCGGTTGTTAACCTTCCAGCAGGCAATTATGTTGTCCGAATTCCGGAAAGAGTGCATTTGAGTTTACTTGTTTACTAGTTTGGAATGCTTAATAACCTCTGGCATTGTTATAACCGGAAAAAGTAGAAAAAATGTTGCAATAACAAAACATAAAAGAAAATTCATTTTGTATTTGCTTGACCTGAACAAATTGCATTCCGAAATTAGGAAGATAATGAGTAAGAGCCGTTAAACTGTGTAAAATTAAATTAAGCACTTTGAATTTCATTATTGCTTGAAAAATAAAGGACGAAGTGATCATCTGCTTATATTTTCTTTAGGTTATGGCGGTGCATACGAGGGCTGTCTGCTTAAGGAGAGAGACGCCTTTGTGGAGAATTTTCTGAGAAAACCTTTCTCATATTGAAGTTAAATTAACAAAAGAGCGCTAAGCTGTACATTTCATCAAGACAATTGCAAAAATTGTATCAAATAGAATTACAACAACCCTTAAAGCAGATTTAAAAAGGGACCATCAATTAGAAAGTTGTCCTAATGATTCTTTACTGTGAAGACTGTCAATCAGGAATAGCTAAAAGAAAACCTTATCCCTACAAAAGTAATCGAGACCTGCCTTTTAGAAAGAATATTTAAAAACGTTTTGGTCAAAAATGATGTTTTCAGACAAAACCAATCTCAATTCTAATTTCCTACACTTGCAGTCATTAGATTTTGTCAAAGCAGGCAACAAGAAACGTGTTCAACTCCCTCGCTAGGATTCGAACTCCAAAAATTCTAGCCGGAAGTGCTTCCAATTACGTCTCGAAGGTACGCGATAAGGAGGGATAAAATACCTTACATAGTAATCCAGCAGAGTGTATTCCCGAACTTAGACGCATTCAGTTTGAAAACAACTTATTCCAAACTACATTGCACTAATAAGCCGCCCAGCCGGTACAGTGGTTAGTGAACCTCTCTGCCGAGCGATGGGCTCGAGTTCGAATCACTGAGAAGGCATAGTTGTAACTTTCCGTCCCTTCATAGAAGGCAACGGTGGCCACCTATTAAGTGCTTCCGTAATGAAATGGCCACCTATTAGGTGCTTCCGTAATGAAATGGCCACTTCTTCCAGCCCTTGTAGTGGCGCAAGGCTAATGGCTATTAAATAAAACGCCCGACCATTAAAAAAAAATGCGTTAATAAGAATCAAATTTGCCAATTTAAGGAGATCTTCTTGTCTTCAAACAAATTATTCCAAATTGCATTTCTCTAATAAGAATCAAATTTGTCAATTTTACGAAGTCCTCTTGTCTTCAAACAATTTGTTCCAAAATACATTTCGCTGATGAGAATCAAATTTACCTATTTAACGAGGTTCTCTTGCTTTAAATTTCAACCTTTGTTCAACATTTAAGAGCCCTAGGCAAGCTAAGCAACTAAGGTCAACCGATTACTTTCAGCATGGTTGATATCAAGTCTTCAGACATTGCTCACCAAAACCCCTTTTAGGTTTCTTTCCATCATCCTCTCAATGTCAACGAGTGACATGGGTGATAAGGAAGGAAGACTGTGATGCCTCAGAAATCCACCCCCAACTGCACAAACCCTCTTATTTGTGAGGTATAAGATTGGGGGGGGGGAAGACTTCGCTTCCAACGATGTGAAACAAAAAAACAAAACTGACGGCACTCTTTTCTGAAGAGTGGGCAGATCCTACTTATTAAAACCGGAGTTTTGGGCCTTGCTGCAACAGCAGCGTACATTCATTCTGACGCGTGAAAGGTAGCAATTTCTACTAGTTTAATTGGCAGTGGAATGTGCTTCGAGAAGTCGGGTTATTGGAAGGCTAGTCTGTGACGGCAAGCTGTCAGAAATGCTGGTACAGTTTAAGACTAACTCTGCGTTAACGCAAAGGGTTGTTCACGCCCTCTTCGGGCATCGTTGTAACTGTTTTTCATACTTCTTCAATTTCAAATCATATAGCTCGCGGTCTTTACGACTTTTTAAAATAATATGTAACATTTTTATTGAGCTAAATGAAAATGTATTTCAGGCTGAGAGTCTGCGTCTTTTGTAGGAGTATCAAAAGCAAGAATACATCTAAAACTAATCGCTGAAGAATTTTACCCATTGTCGAAAGCAATTAAACATTCTTCGGAAAGTAGCTTTTTAATTGAATACAGGTGTCCCTCCTGTAACATGGTAAAGAGGTATCTAAAACGTGTTGTGTGAAAAAGTGTTATTCGAGATTAACGAAAATTTTTAAAAAATAAATATTTTTTTCAATGGTTCTTATTATTGCCTCATTGAAATTTAAACTTTCTGCAATGTCAGATGACTGTTCTCTTTTCACACATGATTCCAAATTTGTGTTTTCATCTCCAAAGGAATAAATTTTTATCTAAAATTTGTTTCCTTACTTTCAGACTTAGCTTGGGACTGAAATATAATTTCGCGTTAATTACTCCTAAAAATGACAAAGCTAGTTTGTAACATGTATACCCAAGAAGTTTCTAAAAAGGTGTTTTTCCAAAATCACATTTAATACTTTATGAATAATTTATTCAGTCTACAAACCGAACACTTACACTGCGTAAATGACGCACACGAGTAAATTTCGAAAGAATTTCGATGTGAGAAAATGCGGGTATGCCTGGGAATTAAAAAAGTTTTTCTATGCATAAACAGAGAAGTTATTGTTAAAACACATAATGGCATAATACGTAACTTTTACAAAAATGAAAATAAAAATCATTATAGAAATATGTACAAACAATGAAGTGTTACAAGAATCTTCACTCATGCTTATTAGCGTACTAGAATGAATCCGTACTGTACTGTAAGAGGGTTTCTGAAATTTTTTTATTTTTAAAGAGCGAAACTGCATTTAAAAGAGAGTGTTATCTGTACCTCAAAATATCCGAGAGCTATGGACTAGTGATCATTATCTTTATATTGTCTTTTTTATTCCTCGTACGGTATAGGAAGTAAAGATAGTACTTTTCATAGTAACAAATATGTATCTTTTATATACGAGATCCTCTGCGTATCTTTTATATACTCGTATCTTTTATATCTCGTATCTTTTCCATCTCGTATCTTTTATATACGAGATGGATGATCCTCTGCAAGGCGAGCTTAAAAATGATGGAAAGATCTACACAAGAAATGTTGTGTACAAAGAGATCTCTGACATGCGAATTAACATTTTATTATTTAAATCACTTTTATTTATTGAGCTATTCTCGTATATAAGTGGCTGAAGTGTTTGTCGCCGATAGTTTATTATTGCCACTCAGAAAAATGAGCGCTGAAATTAATGTTTCCGAAGTTTTTAATTAGTGTCTCGGCCGATTA